GGTGAGTTATATGAGTGTCAAATGTAAGCCTTCGATCAAATACGTGTCAAAACGTGTCACCATTTTCGAGAGCCGTATTATTTATGGAATAGTCGACAATTATTGGATGAAGTTTTCTGTAGAAAGACAGTACTTTGCATTTTCCTTCATTGAGTTGAAGTCTGTGCTCACTACACCAGATTTGAACTCCATTAAGCGAGTCCTTTAAATGACAGCAATCGTCTATGGATTGAATAAATCTTCAAGTTTTCTGCGCTAAGTAAGCGAGTGCATGTGATTCTTACCAAAATGTCATATATGAGAATTAGAAATAAGAGTGGCCCCAGATTAGACCCCTGGGGCACCCCTGAAGGAGTTATTCAATATTTTCCAATACTGTTCGCAAGAACCGATTGTTTGAGAGTAATTTAACACACCTCAAGATGTGTTGACTGAAAATATTTTTTCTGTGCTATAGTCACGTATATTCAATTTAGAAATTGATTATTTTGGAATATCATTGTCATTCTACCCTAAATGTATATCTCATGTTACACATAGCATTTATTTATTTTTTTATTTAAGGGGAAGCCTTTACGAGATTTTTCACGAAAAATTATTATAATCCTAATATATTTTCATTTATTTCGCCGTCTTTTATAAATGTAATTTAGTGGAAAGAGAAAGGTAAAAGATATTCCTAATCCATAGAGAAGGTATTGTTCGTTAAGTAATAATTTGTTTTTTCCGAGGTCACTATGTAAGAAACCATTTTTTTTCCATAGAATTAAATCGAAAACATACATTCATATTGAATTGTCACCATATACATACCTTTCATAAAATTCAATCTTTATAACTACGACTTCAATAAATATTAAAAAAAATGAAAGTTATGTCACCAGCGCTAATGTCCTCGTATGAATCATATAATTTATATTCGAAATTAGAAATTCAAATCTTTTGGCGTCATTTCACTTATATAACTTGAATCTTTCATGCAAATTGTGAATGTCTTCGAAAAGATCATTCTGGTTACCGATCTTTCTTTTACTGTCGTAAAAAGAAAAATGTCTGTTTTGGAAATTAGTGTAGGAAATAGAAACTTGCCTAATAAGCTTCTTCTCATGAAGTAGGTTAGGTCAAAAGTGAGTGGGCGTATTCGTCCCTCCACCGCAACCCGCAAGGGTTTATTGTGGCTCACACCTATTCAAACTCGACCAAATAACCCCAGTAATCGAAGCCGATTAGTTTATATGGTGCGTGATCTTTCAGGTCAGATGATAGAAGTGTGGCTCTACCAAACTCTGAAAACCTGATTCGGTCCGCAGCGGAGCAGACACAAATTATATGCTCTGCTGTTTCATCAAGCAGAGGTGACACACACTGTCTTCCTACAGTCCTAGTATCTGCATATGATGATTCAGACGACAGTGACCTATTAATCGTAATTCATCCCTACTGTAGTCCAACAACTCTTTGGTTACAAGCTTCGAAAGGTGCATTGGAGTGGGCCAATCCTGAAAGATTTTGCCAGAAATCTTTAAATCTTCTTACCATCCAGGTGTTCAATGTTTGTTTGGCATAACCTAAAGCGATGCCAATGACAGGTTCTCGTCCGATGAAGCTACTTGCAGCATCCTCCTTTGTAATTCTCATGAGGTAAATGCGAGCCTAAATGCGGCGAAATATTACTAATGCCAATGACTATGTAATCCATGCGAAGTCGGGGATGCGGTGCTCCCAATGAAAAACCAGATAACTTTAATCTTCTTAGAGTCTGCAGAGAAATCTGTTTAAAAATCTGTTTTTCCGTTTCGACCAGCTGTGGCACCCCTACGAACGACAATCCTCAAAAGTCGAAACTTGTACGAGCTAAGGACTAACGAGGTCTTACCTTTTAACTTGTGATTTCTAACACGGGTTGGACTATATCAAGTGAAAATCGATCGTTCACCGACCAACACGGCGGTCGATTTGAGAGAGTGAACAAAGCACCCACGTCGAACCGACCGACTACCGACCGACCGAGAAGGCAAGATAGATTAATCACCAACTTCAAACGTAACGTCAACAACTATTGTTTGAGTGAATTTTATCAAAGGTCATTATTATTAGTTACAAGCTGATGTAACATCACTACAGGAATATAAATATGATGCTCTGCTACCTCTGCAAAGCCTGGGAGAAGCGCTAGTTGTGAATACAATTATGTAATATTCAGGAAAATTTTGTATTTCCTCTCTCACTCTCTCTCCAGAAAAATACAGCAAGTAGATATCATCTCGGTATGTCAATTCCTCATGTTTCGTAAAAGATTTTTCTGATTGTACACAACAAGTTCTGGGCCTAAATTATGAAATAGTGCTGAACCCTCGACTGAAAACTTTTAAATCTAGTTTCCACCGTTATTTTAATAATATTCTATTTCGTACGACACTGCCACATCCTACCTCTAGAAATCTCACAAAAAAGAATATTGAAGGCTATGTTGGGAGTCCCTTCCATATATTCCAGCAACCAATTATTTATAGACGCGAATGTAATGGATATCACAAAGTTGTATGCAAAAAACATACTAATGCTTTATAGCCATTAAAAAATTAGTATAGAAGCAGTTAATCATATCCACAATACTAGAAATGAACTTGAAATACACTTACCGCGAACTAGAAAAGCAATTGGACAGAAATACTTTACGTATATTGCACCACGACTTTTAAACATTATCCCAGTAGCCCTGAAGAGTTTCCTGCATTCTCGTCCTTTCAAGAAAAAACTAAAAAAATAGTTGATTTCTTTTGTGAGACACACAATCGATGCCACTATTTTCCCAGAAAATATATAAACTCAATGAGTAAATATAAGAGTACCTATAATGTGTATATGTATAGTTTTTGGTTTGTTTTGTGCGTATATATGTGTGCGTATATACAGTGCCTTCATTTCAAAACTTCCCACCCCTAGTACTTCATTTAGAATTTGCCGTAGGCAAAGTACACGTCAATTTAGATATCGAGGGGTAAGTTTAAAACCAGTGCCAGTGGTATTTTAGATTCAACCCCCTTACCCCTAGCTACCCCCACTTAATAATTTTAAATGGCACCCCCTATCTTGTAACACATCCTTTTAAAGATCTTAAAAATCCTCACTCAACTCCGTTTAGAAAACTGAAATTGGTTGATCCGTTCTCGTAAAATAGGGCAAAAAGAAAATGAATTATAACAAAATGCAAAAATTTATGGAACCGCTACCGCTGAATCAATAACGGTAGGTTTATGTCTCTTTTTTACACAGAGTATTTTGCTTTACCTGAAAGTGAGATAAGGGCACACAGTTGCTTCTTGGCGTCAGTTACAATCAAATGGTGAAAACATTTATAAGAATTGGTTATTCCTGATTTTAAACTGTTTGTCAAGTGGTGTCAGTTGTACTGACAGTAATAAAAATCGTAATGGTGTACACTTTACAAGAAAGAACTGAAATTATTTTTATTTATGGTGCTGAAGATAGGTGTGCTCGTAGGACAGCCCGGGTTTTCAATGAAAGGCATGCAGGTCAAAATGTGAGTCACCGATATGTTCTAGACCTTGTCCAAAAATTTGAAGAGACCGGTTCTGTGTGCAAGAAAGCAGTAAAGCAACCGAGAGTTCTCACGGAAGCCACACAGATGGAGATTTTAGGCCAATTCGCCGTTGAGCCTCCTACTTCAATTTCCAAAGTCGCTAAGTTGGTAAATATTTCAGTTGGTTCTATACACAAAGTTTTAAAAATAAACAAGTTATTTCCTTAGAAAATGAGTATTCTTCAGCAACTCAGTGAGGATGACTATAATAGGAGAATTGAATTTTGTGAAATAATGACTGCGAGAATTCAAAATGACCCGAATTTGATAAAAAATATTTGCTTCAGTGATGAATCAACTTTTTTTCTTAATGTTTTTGTAAATAAGCATAACTGTAGATACTGGGATAATGAAAATCCACACTTGTTTCGAGAGGATCATATGCAATATCCACAAAAAATAAATGTCTGTGCTGGAATTCCTGGAAACAAAATAATTGGCCCTATTTTTATTGAAGAAAATTCAACTGGTCAATTGTTTTTAAACATTTTGGAAAATGTAATCGACCCACTCATAACACAGTCCTAAGAACGTCAAGTTGATGAAGAAGAATATCCGCGCTTGGATGAACAAAATTTACATTTTCAACAGGATGGCTCACCGCCATACTACACATTGCATGTCCGACAGTGGCTCGATCAACGGTATCCTGACAAATGGATTGGCTGAAGAGGCGCTCTGGAATGGCCGGCGAGATCTCCGGATTTAACGCCATTGGATTTCTTTCTCTGGGTTTATTTGAAGACAATGGTATACAAAACTCCACCGCAGGACATTCAGGATCTAATACACAGTATTACTGACACATGCAGACACATTAATAAAGAAACATTCACAAAAGTCCGACAGGGATTCGAGAATAGATTGTACTTTTACGTGAACATTTTGAACACCTTATAAAGTAAGGTACATTTATAATATAATTAATTTTCTTTTTGCCCTATTTTACGAGAACGGATCAACCAATTTCAGTTTTCTAAACGGGGTTGAGTGAGGATTTTTAAGATCTTTGAAATGATGTGTTACAAGATAGGGGGTGCCATTTAAAATTATTAAGTGGGGGTAGCTAGAGGTAAGGGGGTTAAACCTAAAATAGCAATGGCACTGGTTTTAAACTTCCCTTTCGATATTGTCACCTTCTTTCTATCAAGATATAGAAATAAGGCGATAATTGCTATCGGCTAGCTTTTTCAGGGCGGCAAGGGCGTAGGTCGTTACAAGGTGAAGGTTCTCAGAAATCCAATTTTTGACTGAGAATAAGCTTGATTTACCTTGATGTTACTTTGGACGCCATCTACAGTTTTTAAAGTGGTTTCAAACTTATTCTCAGACCCGTCTCTGTAGAAAGACTTTCTTGGGTGTCTGAAATCCCCAAAATGCAAATGATACAAATCAATTTGTTTTATTAGTTTAATTTGTTTGTTGGGATCACTTCATATGAAATAAAGTTTGCTACAATTTATTATGAAATACCAAAATTGAAGACAGATGGGAACACTGTCCCTTTTTACATTTCAATACTTGAATAAAAATTACCGTATAGTTTCTTACCTAAGGATGAATGCATTCAAACCTTTTTTGTTTTAAGAATAATTTCCATAAAGACTAGTTTAACTCCTTTTATCTGCCCAGTTATAAGAATGTGGTGGTAGCTCCCAGAGATCTCTAACGTGGAGTTCAGGTCCGATGAAACTTATAGGTTTCCTTCCATTGTCATATGATTCACAAAAAAAACACAAAACTCCTCAAAAAAAAAACTTTCTTGCTTTGTCTTCCACTTTTTTTTTATGCATACTAATCTTCCTGTATACCAAACCTGTATACCAGTTTTCCTATGTATACTAATTTTTCCAAGTATACTAATTTTTCTGAGTATACTAAATTTTTCTAAGTAAACTAATTTTTCTAATTATACTAATTTTCCTGGCAGAACTAAAAGAGTCAGAAAGAGAAATGAAATAACCTCTTAAATGTGTCTAAAAAAATATATATTTTTATATTTCTCTTGAAGCGAGTTGAGATTATTACTTAAATGAAAATAATGATATTAGATATTTACCTCTTGACTTATTAATATGGAATTCACTATCTTATAAGGTTTTCAGAATCTTTTAATTGTTAACCTCACATGAGTTCTTAGCGGCGCCAGGACAGAAAATGGCCAAGCACTTCCGTCCTCTCCAATTCCAAAAATCTAATTTCAATAAAAAACATTTCCTATTTTCTAAAGGTTACCAACAATTTGGAACATAAATCCCAAACGAAAGTTCGCGCTTGCGCTATGACCCATATATTCCACTAAATGATCATCTGAGAATCCGTTTTAATAAAACACAAACTAGACAAGTGTCTCTCAATTCTACCGCCTGATTTACTAAAAATGAAGAAGAAGAGAACAAAGCAGTGTCACTGTCATCGTTCTTTTCACATAACCAAAACAGGACTGGATTTATTTACAAATTAAATCAATAATAAAAGATACCTTTCGGTTGAACGCCGCATCAGAGATCTCGGTGAGCTGTGAAAATAAAAGTATTATACATCGAGAAATCACAATTTATGTATGCCTTCAATAACACAAATTTATATGATTTACAAGTAATAATTGAATGGAAAAAGGTACACTTTATTCTTCTTTGATGAAGAAAGTAACGATTACACAATTGTAAACGTTACAATATCTAAATTGACGTGTTTTTTGTCTACGGCAAATTCTCCCTGCTTAACGAAGTCCTAGGGTTGGGAAGTTTTGTAATGAAGACACTGTATGTGTAAATACGAACAAAAATTAACAACGTCAATTTGTTGGTGCTTGGTGATTGATCCTTTACTCAGTTACTGAAAGTTTGGAATAACTCTAAATGTAAAGCTAAAACACCTCAAAGACAAGCTTTCCCGAGCTTTTTTGAGGTAACCTTCGTTTATTTTTCCATACTCTTCATTTGTTTATATTGTAATTCTGTACTTTTGTCCATACTGTAAATATTGTAGTTTTGTATTGTATTTGAATTTGTTAAAATACACATATTATTATTATCATTCCACTCCTGGTCGACGATGACTCTTGGTTTTCTCCGCACAAAGCAGGATGTTTCTCTGTGTCCAAGCGTTTGTCTGCTACAGGTCGATAATATATTACATATTTTTCATTTTAATATGTAAGGTCATGTTCAGAATATAATATTTCACCTTAGCTGTTGGCACTCGTATAAAACTGTACAGCTACAAGAAACATAAATCTAACACCTACATGCACACAACATTTTTGAATAAGTGTTAAAGTTGAGAGTTAAATTTATACGAATGCCAGAATCGTAAACTGAAATTTCTCTCAAAACATCAATGCGCATTGGATAAATGAAAATGGATACGTGTGGGATTGATCTATTATTCTATTCGATGAACTGGACCATTTATCAAATATTTAGTAAGACGAGATTGGACAGGAGATTTATTTTCTGCTAGCTAAGAATGCAATTAGGAATATGATTTGTTATAGCTGGACTAAGAAGCCATAAGTTACATGTATAATGTCTCTCTCTATCTTTTTTTTTTGCCTTCACTGACAACTGACAGAAATAACGCGTGAACTCCATATATGACATTTTATAACCTAAATATATTACAATTCAAGAACCTTTACTATGAAAACAGATAAGGAGACAAATAAACCAAATACTTCCCAAAATTTTATGTAATTTGAAGAAAATAATGAACATTATTATTTGAATAATACCTAGACTATAAATCATCATTTTGTTAACGTGTATTAAAGAAGGAAGTAATATAAATCATGAAATTATGAAACAACAAAAATTAATTGGCGCTCCGGGGCGACTTCATTGATTCCAGTGGAACATCATCTAAAGATCTTGATTTGTCAGTGTCCTCTCTTTCATAAAACAAAATGTAGGGTGTCTCCAGAGGATCCAATATATTCAAGACATCGCCAGAACACTTAGTGACCCGATTATCGTTAAAATCAAACCAGTCTGTTTCGTCTTTGACCAATGCGTAATAATGGCCAGATTCAACGCCAGAATTACAGTGAACAATGATTGCATGAATATTATAATAGTGGTATGCTACTGCTGAGTTTGGTGAATAAGTAATAATAATAATAATAATAATAATAACTTTATTCACAACGTATACAGATTAGAGTACAATTAAAACAAAATATGTGAACAAAGTGGTTTGGCGATAAGAGCAGAGCTCTTGTTTCGCAAGAAGTTATAAAGTATATGTAAGTACATAAATATTTATATAAAAGTGAGTATGGCCTTCATGGAGTAGAAACTACAAAACATTAGATTAAATTTGTGAATTTGGTGTTATAGTTAAGCAAATTATATTTAAGCTTGAGGTAAAATAGGCCGATTATATACTAGACAAACAAAAAGTAAGAAAAATAGATAAAACCTTAGACAAATATTACACGTTCTATAAGAATAAAATATCAATATACAAATAGATAAAATCTTAGGCAATATAGATAATATTATGCTACTTACAATAAAATATGATACAACTTTGGGATAAATTTGACTGAGACTAACTTATTCTTTCCCAAAAACTTATTTCACTCTAACAGATTTTTTTTGATTGTCTATCTTTTACGAAAATGTGTTTTCTTATTTGTTTTTTGAATATTGGTTTGGAATTAGAATTTTTTATTTTGTGAGGTACGAAGTTATATAATTTAGTTGCCATGAAAGAATTTGCTCTTTGTGAAATTGACTTTTCAACAGTAGGATAGGTTAGTTGGTCGCGATGTCGTGTGTTATAGTCGTGGTTTGGTGATGATGCTTTCTTTTTGCTGAAATTATACTCCACGTTTGTACAATAGTAATATAATTGTGTCATATCCATAACTTCACACTGTTTATACAGGAGATCTGACAAGAAACGAGAATTTCTAGACATGATCAACTTCATGAATCTCCTTTGTAATATCTCTAACGGATTGAGGTGTCCACGCAGAGCTTATTCCCATACTGTTATACCATATCCCAAATGGCTCTCTACTAGGGAACTATATAATTGATTAAGTTCTTTGTGAGGTGAGTAATTTTTCAGGGAACGGAAGTTGTGAAGCATTGTTTGCAGTTTTTTATTGTATATTTTATATGAGAGTCCCACCTTAAGTTTCTATCTATGTAGACGCCCAAGTATTTGATTTGTCTCAGGGAATCTATTTTTATTGTTTTTCCTTGTTCGCCGACATCAAGAGTTTGAAATGGACAATTATTGGATAGATTGCAGCTAAACGGAAGAAAATTTGTTTTTCCCAGATTCACTGTCAGGAGCCTTTGGTCATACCATTTTTTGAGCAAGTGGAAATCTGTTTCTACGTTCTTTTTCAAATCAAACCAAGTGTCCGCCTCATAGAATATCGCAGTATCGTCTGCGTATCCAATTATTTTCCCAACACTGTCCAAATTGAATAATTCATTTAGATTTAAATTGAGAAGCAGAGGACCCAGTACCGTACCTTGTGGTACTCCACATTTTATTTGTTTTTGATTGCTAATTTTATCTGCAATTCGCACAACTTGCATTCTATTTCAAAATTAGCTTTCAAAAAGCGTTTGGCAGTTTCCTCTGATACCATTATTGTTTAAAGTTTGTAGGAGTAGTTAATGATCGACAGTATCGAAAGCCTTTGTTAGGTCTATAAATAGACATAAAGAAGGCTTTTCTTTCTCCAAGAATTAATGTATCAATTCTGTCAGTTCAAGGATCGCGTCTTCGGTTGAGGTTTTTTCTTTGAAGACAAATTGTCTATCTGAAATCAATTCGTATTTGGTTATAAATGAATTTATTCTTTTCTTTAGCAATTTTTCGAAATTTTTTTACAGATGGGTGATAAGCGAGATTAGTCTATAGTTTGTGATTTCAGTTTTATCTTCTTTTTTATGGATAGGAGTCACTACTGCAGTTTTGAATGAGTCGGGCCACACATCAAGTAATATACATTTAATAATAATAAAAACTAAAGCATCTAGTATATAATATGATATTGATTGTAGCAGTTCGGCTTTAATTTCGTCTTTTCCTACTATACCGACTTTTTGTAGGAAACATTCTCGTTCTCGTTCATCGTTAGAACCTCGTTCTTGAAATTCTTCGTAATGAAAAACACTTGTTAAATGTAGCAAGTGTTTCCTAAAATATATAATCTAATTTTCTTCGCAAGATTTTCAGATCGACTGTCAACTACTGATTCGTAAGGAAGAACATGTATTACAGAATCTGTATCGAAACCATTTCTCAAGCTGCAATCGATTCCTCCAAGTGATGAAGGGTTTCGTAGAGGGATAGATTCGGTTCTTGCTTCATGAAGCTCTTCCACTGAAAGGTAACGAGACCCCCCCATGCCCCCCCGGGTTGAGTATCCTTAAGTAGGAGCTTCCCCCCTCATTTATTAGCGAGGAGAACCTACTACCCCACTCCTTCCACCCCCGCTCTCCGAGCGGTCCTCAACTTACTGCTGGGCACTTCAGCAAGATTGACATCTATCCTCATTTTGGTAGAAAGTCAGCCTTTAGGTGCTTTTACCTTCACAATCGAATTATTATTTTATCTCTCTATTCCTAGCTGAATTTAAGCATGGGGGCCCCCAAAAACTAACCGGTGGCTTTACTTTTAATGTCGGGCGTTCCTTAATAAGAGTACTAGAATCGCGGTCGAGTTGTTCTGCGGTGAACTTGCTGAAAGAAAGTCTATTTAATATGCTTACCGGAGTCGCCTTACGGCGACTCGTGGGGGCGGTCCCTGATTCTGCTTCATCAGCCTTGGATGTTTGTCCTTTTCTCGGAACCTGGGGTCATCCATGTTCAACGCATCGTGTAGATCGCGGAACGCTGGATTTAAGTGCGATCTGATCCTATCGAACGTGCTTTCTGCATGTTCTCTCATATACACGTCCACATATTGCGTGTCTCTGCATGTTCTCTCATATACACGTCCACATATTGCGTGTCCAGGTCTAGATCTCTGTATATGAATCTATTTGGTATATAGTAAGGTGCATTTACAGCGGCCCTTACGCTCGCATTCATAAATGATTGGATCTTCTTTCTGTATGTCTGCGCACACTGGCCCCAGGCAGTGCATGCATACAGTATTATTGGC